CTCGGAGAGGATGTCGGTGATCTCGGGACCCGAACGATTCTCGCCGGGTTGCCAATGTTTAGGTTACCCAATACGCTCGCGGGTCCGCGTAACGCCACGTCCTCGAGGTCTCGTGGCGATTCTTTGCCGAGGCAATTTTATGGGTATCGCTATTTTTAGTGCGTACCGTAAACCCGTGCCACTGTCGCGGCGAGGGAAGGTAACGAGAATTTCGTTGAATTCGTTATTCGAACCGAACACGTGCAACCGCCCCTGGAGCTGGCCCGACAGTTGAAAAATCCCGATAGCAGCCTCCTCGGTTATCCGCGTCTGGGCTGCAAGGAATCCCCTGGGGAAACGATTTAAGCTGCTCACCGGGGAGGAGTTGACTCGTAGTCGTACCCAACTATGGCCTCGCGCCTTCGCATTTCTAATATTTACTTACGGATCCTTGCACTGACCTGCACCACAGTGTCTACGCGACAGTAGCGTGACGAATTCGAGTCGCTCAAGTCGCCAGTCGACGATGCTCGCCCGTGGCTCTACCCGTATGGCATGGTTAGCCACGACAGGACAAGTGCCATGTCGCCGACACGGTTCACCTCAGCTCACGGATCGGAATAGTTTTGTAGGATGCGACCGTTGTTTTTTGGCGGGAAGCGGGAGGGCGGCCGATAATAATTGACAAGTGCAAGGTAAACGTGAACGCGCAACGTGATTCGTTTAAGCTCGGAGGCGTAGCGTCCGGGCGAGCTCATCGTAATCAGCTGTTATCAAGAACGTAGCGGTACGCGTTTCCTGCCACTTGTAGTTCTGTCGTAACCGAGCTACCTTTACGGCTTCCTTCGCGCACCGAATCGTCATCGATTTCGACATCGGCGATTCTCTTCTTTCCTTTTCGCCCGTTTTTCGCCCGTTTTTCGCCCGTTTTTCGTCCCTTTTCCATTTTACCCTTCGCGGCCGATGCGCGTCCGGTTTTATCGTTCGTCTTATCGCGCGCTGTATCGGAAACGATAATCGATATTCGGCGGTGGCCGCGGCTGAAATTTTAACTTCCAACCCGGAGGCTATTAAAAGACGAAACGGACACGAGCGACTTCCCGGGGTAGGAGGGCGCGAGAACACCCGGTCGATCCGCGTCGGAACTTAGAAGCCAAGTCGTAAGCTTCTGTTTAAGGAAACCCTTGCGCTTAATGCGCGCCGTTCGGTCATCAACGAAGGGCCGCGGATCGTTTCCACGGAAAGCGAAAGCGTAGAGGATCTCGCACGGTACTACCTTTCCTCCGTTCATTTTCGCGAGCCAATAAAACACGTCTCTCTCCCGATCAAATTTCCCTGTTTGGCTGCGTTCCATGCGGACGGTCCCATGCCATTTTCATGCTACCATCGCAATCTTATAAACATTCCGAGCAGAGTGTTCCGACTCGAATCTCTTAGGAAACTTCTACCGGGGGTGGTACGTTTTTGCTCTTCGAGTCGGCATTCCTAGCCGGGATATCTATCGATTCTCTAACGAGTCCGCGTGGCTCCCGTCCCATCGTCGACTTCTCCTCGAACAGTCTCGCCGAAGAAACAAATGAATTATTCCGAAATTAAACCGAAAGTGTGTATTTCGAGTTCGAAACGTTCCAAGTTTTCAACGAAAGGGACAAAGGAACTCTTCCCGGAATGATCCTCGCGACAAATTGCCACTGAACGCTCAGAAATGGTTGGGTGCGGTGAAGAGTGTGGCGGATCTCAGTCGCGAGAAATAACATATCGAATCGCGTCCAGGGAAAGCACAGAAACTTATCGTACAACCTCTGATAGCTGGTTCGAAACGGGAGGGACGGCATGACTACTCTATCTAGAAATAACGTGAAACGAAGGGGACACTATTTTTGCCACACGGCACCATGGGAATTGTTCCGAATTTTCGGTCCGAGTTCGCGCGACCGCGCGCTCGAGCTAAGACCGCGCCGCCACTTTTTCTTCTCCCGCTAATAATCGTGGTCGCGTGCAAAGATTTCTTGGCAGCGTCGGCGCAAGTAAAAGTAGCCGTACCGACTTCTTTGGACTTGTTGAGCCCGCGTTTCACACACAGTGTCGTATACGGTGTGGTGTACGGTGCGGTGTACGGTGTGGTACGCGGTGCGGTGTACGGTGTACGGTGTGGTATACCGTGTCGTATCTGGCAGCGTGCGGGACGCTTAGAAATCGTACACAATACGCGCATTACACGTGGCGTCTGTAGCATCCGCGCGCCCCCGCGGCCGCCGCGGCCGCCGCGGGTGTCGCCGCGTAAATTACGCGCGGCGGGAAGACCGGCCGCGTACGTGTATCGTTAAAAGAGCAAATAAATATCAGCGGCCGGCTCCATTATGCATGTGGCCGGGTATCGGGCGCGTATAGGCGGTTATCTGCCGATAGAGCGGCACGTGCGACGATAATAATAGAACTGTCGGTGCATTCACACACGGGGGAGATACCTGTTGTGTGGTGCGAGGTAAAGACACAAAGTTTCACGCTCAGGCTCGCTTCGATCATCGTCGGGATTAGACCCGGTTCGAATCGATAGGTATATCCGATCGAGCCGACCGGGACACGCAGTTCCATGGTTCTCCAGCGAGAAGAGGGTACCTTTCACCGAGCAATATTAATAAGCTTCGGTGACCCGTACCGACTTTTAAGAAACTGCACATCCGTCCTCGCCATTATTCGCTTAAGCGTGGAAACTAGTTTCGCGGTAACGACCGATCCTCGTGGCATCTGCACTCGTTTTTATCGCGCGAATAATTCCTCCACCGAGCTGCCAGTTGCGGGTGCAACACTCGCATTTTATCAGCCGGCCATCAATCCGGTTCCGGATGCTCGAGCGGGGATGGTATCGCGGTTTCCTCGGAAATACACCTGACCCTTTTACTTTCTATTTTACCCGTTCCCGGTGGCGAGCACAGAGAAAAAAGCGCAGATGAACAAAATCGATTGCGGCGAAAAAAAGTGCAACCAGATGAAATAGCTGAAAGACCAACGGAGAGAGTCCGGCCCCCTTTCTCCCCGGCGGCATTATTCGCTGGCGTACGACCGGCCGCGCGTTTCACTACGATTTTATCCTGAATTATCTTTATCGTCGGGCCACCAACGCAGTCGTTTACATCGAGCAGCGGACGCTAAGTCCGTGGTAAGAATTTTTCTCGTTTTCTCGTTTCCGCCAGTTCGGCCATGCTTCTTAGCGCCGAGGTGTTCGGCCCGCCAGATGTTAGAGGCGAGAATCGGCGATTCCTCGGTGCATGCACGTTGGATCGATGCTGGGGCAGCTTGCGTTGCTAATCACGTGGTGCTGAAACAAAGATAATTAAAGGGACTCGGAGGGGGGAGGTTTGGGGAATCGCGTTCGAGAAAGGTGCACGGATTTTATAACGCCTTCGACGGGATTTAATGGCCGGTGCCGTTTCAGAAGCTACGTCGCTGTGTTTTTGCCACGGGCATCCTGTACAGTGCTTCCGCGTTTAAAGCCAACGCGAACGGGTACCTCTTAAAGTATCGGCAGCAGAAAAATAGTAGTATACGAGACGGTAAAATTTCCTTTTTCGTGGACGGAGCTGCATAATCTCGGTTAGTTCCACTTTCAGTGCGTTCGAATACGAACTCGACAACCTTTCAAACGAATACCCTGATTCCTTTCGTGTCTTCGATCCGTTTCGGAGGTGTGTTATTTTCAAACGGACACACTGTAGATTCGGCGACGTACATAGAATCGACGAGACCGGCGTTCTCGCCGAGGAATATCGATCCGCGGTACTATTAATGAATTTCAGAAAGTTTCTCTCCGCGGTGCCCGGATCCAGTCCATAGATCGTGTAAATCTTCATTCCGTCTCGTGAGAAGTTCCGGCGAGTTTTCTTCGGTAACTGCCTCGAAGTTGTTTTCTGCGGAAAAATTCGGATGTATTCTTTTCGCGGAACGGCCCGCCGTACGTCGCCGGATAAACAAGCGATAAAAGTGGCCTCGGTATCACGCGGCAAGGTGTTCTCGGTAATATCAGCGAGGCATTAATACAGCTTTCCTATCGTTCGACGCGGAAACGGCAGCAATCGTTATCGTTTCCTGCGTCGTTGTAGATACATATACGGCGTCCGGCGGTCGCGTGTCCTTTCCGAGCGTAGGAAACACTCCGGAATACCGATCTAGGCGCGCGAGAAGCGTGGCGAACTCTTCTGCTTCGCTCCGTGAAAACGAATCGACGCGATTCGCAATCACATATTTTTTCATCGACGAAACGGGATC